CTGAAACGACCGGGGCCTGTAAGCCCTATTTTCTAGGCTTTTAGGCTGAAGGTGCGGGACGGGCCCTGCAGGGCCCGTGTGGCTACGCAGTATGCGACACTCAGACTGCAACGGAACACTCACAAACGTACATCAGTGGTGTGAAGCCCTGGCCTTGGATATAGAAGAAAAGGCCGAGGCAATTCTCATACACAGATGAATGGAGGGAGGAGAGACGAAGGGAGGAGGAGAGGGAAGATGACGTCAACTCAATGTTTCCAAAGATAGTATCTTGAAATGTCAGAAGTAGCAAAAATCCGAAATGTCGCGAACACAGAGTCTCACAGTGTCTCAGATATCCATCTCACAATGTCAAGGTACATCTTCAGAGGAAGATGAAATCAGATCCCACGAGTGGTCCTCAACCTACAGTCCCAATGTCGCTGTCTCCAATATTATCAGAACTCGTAACCATCCTTCATACTCGTAGAAGTCCCATAGGAGAACCCAGGAGTAGACTTAGACTTAGAAGGTAGAAGGGGAGAGAGAGAGAGAGAGAGAGAGAGACAGTGGCAGAAGAGGCAGACTGCAGCAGGCGGGCGCTGGGCCGCAGGCTGGACCAGTGGCTGGCGCTTCTCCAACTGCTGCGGTAAGTCCTCCTCGCCGCTGTGCTCGATCTCTCCTCGCTGCTCGTACTAATGCTGCTGCGCTGCGCTAATCCTGCTAATGCTGAAGCGCTGCGCTAATCCTGAAGACTAACCTCCTGTCTACTAACCTACCGACTGAGGCTGGTACCCAGCACCAGCAGAATTGCATCACGAGATTCACCAAATAAGAACACACCAAGAGTTCATAATTGACAATGCTGAAATAGTCCCATCATCATCATCAACGAAGAACCAGAGTTGATATCCTATCTGGCGCTCGGCGCCCAGACTACATGTGGTAGATCCTATCTAGCCTATACTACAATGCCGAAGTTGACATCAACAGCTTTCCCAAAGTACGAGCATATGGCGACCAATGTCGCACGCTTCCAGCACCAGGTATGTCTCTCGCTACACTCACAACCTCGTTCCCCAACACACAGATGCCACTAGCACCCAAGGACCACCCTGCGCCACACCCAGCTCACAGCGGAGCAGCTCGGCTATGGCTGCCCGCTCCTTCCTGCTCGCCCGTGAGAGCGTGAGTGCCGGCCAGCGAAATAGCGCAGCAGCGCTTGTGCAGCATGCAGCCAGCACCCAAATACCGAATGAGGAGGCAGGCCCTTTGCTATATCGAAGTGGCCTGCCTGCGTCCAGTCCCAGGAAGCTTCCAGTAGGCCCCGGTAGCCTGAGGCCCAGCATGACGAGAACAGGCCTTGGGCCTGAGGTGGTTGCATGTGCCCAACTGCCTTTGGCCTGTGTTTGGCCCGGTACCCGTAACCAGCCCAGGGCCTGCTTCACATACATTCACACAGGCGGCCCAGGGCCTGGGTTCACTCAACCAACTGGCGCTGCGCAACTGCCTGAATTTCTCTGAGTTGCGTGGTGGCCAGAAAAGGGCTCTGAGGGCCTCGTCGAGCCTGCCTTCACTTAGGGCGGCCGACGGGCTGCAAAATGGGGCCTTATGGGGCTCATAGAGGCAGTGGCCTCGCATTCCCTCTTCCTTAGATTCAACATGGGGCTCATAGAGGCAGTGGCCTCGCATTCCCTCTTCCTTAGATTCAACAGTCCTCTGAGAAGCTCAGTCTTCAACCATGGGGCGCTTTCCCTTCTGCAGAGATCTCTCGTATTGGGCTACAACTTGAGGAGCGGTCTGCATGAGTTTTTCTCTGGTGAACCAGCGGTCCTCCTTCGAATCAGTGTGATGCCCGAACCATAGGCGGTACTGCAGCTTCGGTTTCGGAGGATGTCCCTGCCTGCTGGTCTTGATACCGGCAGCTCTCTGTGATCCACGATGTCATCGATGTCCACCTCTCCGTCCATGGTTGGGGGCAGCATTGAGCGACGAGATGGAAACTGATCAGTTGCTTTGAAAGGTGCCAGCTTAAATGCGTGAAAGACAGGGTAAGTACGGAGATGGCCAGGGATCCGGATAACATAAGATGGCCCATCCGGATCTGTCCCAACAATGTCCAAGACTTCCCAGGTGCCAAAGTACTGGGGCATGAGTTTGCCCGAGATCCCGTGCTCGTGTCCCAGTTCTGAAGACTTAACCCAGACCCTATCCCCAACCTGGAATGTAGACGGTCGGCGGTGTCTATTCTCAGACTCTATCATTGCAGCCTGAGCCTTCTGCATCTGTTCTACAGCCTGCTGCATCTTCTGTTCGTAGCGGTAAGCAAATTCTAACGTACCTGGTGCAGTAGTCGACTGATTCTTAGGAAGGAGAAAATCCAGGGGTAGTCTAGGCTTGAAAGTCGGTAGCAAACTGTTCGGGTTCACCCCGGTAGTACTGTGTACCTCATTGTTATACAGACTGGCATTGAGTGCAAGCTTCTCATCCCAGTCCACCTGGTTGGGCTTGATATAATGCCTCAACAGGTGTTGTACCGCGCGGTTCAGTTGCTCGGCCTGGCCGTTGGCCTCTGGGTGATTCCCAAAAGTCATTTGCAACTGGGTTCCGTGTTCTGCAGCAGCGGCCTTCCACAATTCGCTGGTAAATCGGACATCCCTGTCACTGATTATGGATTTCGGTAAGCCAACATTCTAATTACGTACTCCGTCCTTGCTGTTTCCGGCATTGCTACTAACCTAGCATACTTACTAAATCTATCCACGATGACGAAGATATGTCTCATCCCACTCTTGCTGGTGATGAGGGTATCCATGAAGTCCATCGACAGACTCTCACCAGGCCGTTCCGGAATCGGAAGGGGCTTCAGGAGCCCAAGAGGAGCCTGAGTACGTGGCTTGTCTTTTTGACATACCTGACAAGTCTCCACGTACAGCTGGGCGTCTCGCATCATCGTGGGCCACCAGAACCGCTCCAACAAATTGGTTGCGGTCTTCTTATACCCAAAATGTCCGGTGGCGTCATGACACTCACCTAAAAACAAACTACGCAAAGACTCGCTATTAGGAACACCAAAATCTCCGGCGGCATTTTCACCGGCTCGCCTGCAGCAGAGACATAAACTAAGTACATACCCTCCTCCTGATTTTGCTTATAATAATTGTAGAACGCGGCCGCACACATGCACCCGTAGGACTCAATCAGACTACTAGCTTTGAACTTGTGTAATCTGGCGGTCCCTCCACCTGGCAAAGTGTGTTTGACCACTTTTCCGTCCCAGTCAAACTAGGGCTGTGCTACAGAGAGGTAGTACATACCTAGTAACATGTCCATTGGGAGCTCGTCACTCACCAGGAACGAGACACGATGTCTCAAGTCCCCTCCCGCGTACGGGAAACAACACTACATCTTGGAGGTACTCATTGACTACCATGCGCTGTTTGTTGGCACAGGTCGACTCAGGCGCTGCACTCGCCCCTGTAAACGCAGCCTCCCAACGCACGCGCGACTGATAATGACATAATAGGCCCCGGCCTTGCGGCCGCCAATGACAACCTCGCTGACGAAAATCTCACCCTTAGGGGCTTTGACTAGAGCCGTCCAAGAAGCTAGTGGGTCTGATCTAGACCACTCCACCTCTAGCTCCTCTAAGGACTCAAACACATTCATCGAACAGAAGCTCGATGGGTCTGAACGTGTTTGCGGGACGACGCTGGAGTCAGTAGCTTGGGCCATCTCTCAAGATGGTGAGGGTGTCTCCACCACCTCGACCCTAGTAGGAACAACTACTATTCGTACTGGCCTGACGTGTTTCCCGGAGCACTGCCTGAAGTACAAGCAACGTTGCTACCAACGGGATGAGAGGATCCCAACACCTGCCCCATTGTAAGGGGGATCTTTTCTGTCACCTTCTTATTGCGGCACTTGAATTGGTTGTGACCATATTGACCACAACGAATACAGGCCTGTCGTGAGTAACGGTCTCTCCACACGTCCTCTGTAAGACCCGCTTTCTCCCATGGAGGAGCATTGGGGTCAATTTGACTCCTACACTGAGAACCTCCACGGCGTCTACCGCTCGCCTTTCCTTTTGAGCTACGACAGCGACCACTCCACCCTCTGAAGTTTCTACGCTGCCCGCCATTGCACCTACTCCCTCCTGGAAGTGTTCGTCTACTTCGATAGTGGAACCATCGTTATCAACAAACATTAAGCGACCCTTCGCCTTCCAGTCGGGAGGCAGTGTCTTTCTTCTCCCATCCGTAGTGGGTGCCTGTCCATGCCCTATCTTAGCCTCAAGGTCTAGGGTCATCTTGCTGAACGAAGGAAAGTTGTGCATATTAATGTTGGCCTCCCTTGCCAACTGGTTCCTGAGCGGCAATGAAAAGCATCTCAGGTACGAGGTAAGTAAGACCCGGGGGTCATAGCGCACCCCTGGGACGCAGATCAGACGCTCAACAACGTTGGTGGCTTCCCTTACTGACTTGAACTGCCGCGTGTGCAGTGTCAGGATCGCATCAGTGGCCCTTTGGGCCTCCTGAGGATCGTGCCACTCGTCCTCCACCATCTTCAGGAAGTCCTCCAATTTCTGGGTGACCGCCCAAGCGCGGAAGTCATAACCATACCCATGGAGCTGCACTAAACCACTCAACCATCTTGCTGCACTACCCGCTAGGTAGGAAGCAGCCACAAACACTTCTTCGTGCGGCAAGGTAAGTTTACACCTGACGTAGACCGGCACTGCCCTCAACCACGTGTCAAGGTCTTCGCCCCTCTTATCCCCTGTGAAAGGTTTGGATGGTCGTCCTTGGAACCCACTGTGTCTGTCCCGGTCCCTGTATCACTGCGGGCTGTGGACCCTGTGACACAGGTTGCTGTGCCGGCTGCTGGGGCTGTGTGCCCTGCGGCTGCACAGGCTGCGAGACAGCAAGCTGCGTGGTGACTGCAACCTGCGACGGAGTTTGGGTGAACACTGTCTGAACAGGAACCTGCAAACTAGTCCCTGCTGATACCCCTCCTGACATCGGCATGCCCAGGGAAACGATCGCAACCAATGACGGTGCTACATATGGGGATACCCCTGTCACCGGTGGGACAGAAAAAGGAGGATATGGCAAGGGCCAGGCACCAGGCCCGGGTGGTGATAGTGCCGCCTGAGCACGCCCTGCCAGAATGGCTAGGCTTTGTTGGATATCCTGAAGGATGGTAGTCTGATGCTCCTGCATCTCTATTACTCCTAGCAGGCCCCTCCTCACTACCCTCACATCATCATCCATGTTCGTCAGGTCCATCGTCTCTAACTCCTCTATGCCTGTGCCCCTCTCCGCTGCACCATGGCTCTTCTTCTAGTCATCTTGTCCGTCTCCGCTTTTATCTGTCCTAATGCCTGCTGTAACTGTGCCTTCTGCAGGGCTGCCTGCTGGATGGCGACATCCTCTGGGGTCAATGGCTTGTCATAACGCCAGTGGACTGAATCACGGTCTGCGCGACCAATGACCCGACGATACCTGAACTGCTGGCCTGGGAAGTCTGCTGCGCAGAAGTGACCATAGCGGAAGTGGCCATGGCTGTTGTAGCAGCGGCCTCGCTAGCCAATGCCCTGCTGGCCTCGGCTGCTCTAGCTCTCCTCTGCTGCTGCTGCCTCTCCCTAAGCTGGCGGAACAGAATCCTATCACCCTCCGGTCCTAAGGACACGTGGGCTATCGGGCCTCTAGCTGATCGCAAGATCCGGTCGTCCGGTGGTGTGTCCTCCCTGTCGCTCATATGCTACAGCACTGTGCACCGTCTACACTAGGTCACTCAAGATGCCTACCGCAACAGAGTGCACAGACCAATTTAAAATAAATAAATAATTAATTGGTGGCTATTCTGGAGCACATACATTCGGGTTCCAACAGGTAAGTCCAGATTCCTACAAACGAATCTATTTTTTTTTTTGTTTGACCAGTCCGCAAACAGAAGCATCATGAACAAGAAACAGTCCTAACTAATGCTGTCTGTCAAATGTCAATGGCTGTACATCTAACTAATCAAAACATGAAAATAAAATCATTTGTGCGGATAGGACAGCAATGAATTTTCTCGAACTTATCACCTGGAATTTACCCCTCCCTTAGTTCCCCTGAGTATCACTCGACGTCAGCGTCCCTGAGCAATCCGGAGGCGTCCCGTGTCTAAAGGTGTGTGTCCGGCCCACCCCTGTGCCCCGAGTATCTGCTGAGATGGCCAGCCCTGCACTGGATTATCCTCGCGTGCAGCGAGCCTTACAAACATTGGCTGATCCAGAGGCAATTTAACGTCCGCCCCCAAGTGACTCCAGGAATTCTTTTCCATCGCAGCCGGACGACGATCACAGCCGGACGACCATCACAGCCAATGGTTCCCCTTCCGGTGCTTATTTAAAGACGCCCGGTCTCGTCTCCCTCAAGGGCTGGCCTGCCCAACAGTACCCATCTAACAGCACAGCAAGCCGAACAAAGGACAAGCAGCAAGGCATGCGTGCTCTACTCCCTGTGGGTTGGCATGGTGACCGTGACCCAGTGCTTCGTCTAGGGCCCTTCAGAAAGCTCCGCCCATCTTCTCCCAGATGCTCCACGTGAACATTGCCGACTCTCAAGGTTGAGCGCACTCGACACCTCACAATGAGAGGACTCTCAAGAAGGAACACACAACCTCACGGTAAGAAGTGTCGGAGAGGGTAGATAAGGTTAAGAGCACCGTACCTCAAATAGCTGCCCCCAACAACAGAGATAATCTCACCAGATGACCAGATGGCGATTGCGATGACCAGTCACTGCATCGGCACAACCAGCATTATCTTGCCGTTCCACCTCAGCATCAATCGCACATTAGATAGTTCTCATCACACTGTCCAGACCACATTTCAACCCACGTAGCCTTCCTGGCGATCCCCTCGCCTCCTGGGTCGCCTATACACTCGTCTCCACACTCCTCACTACACACCACTTACGGCCAAACTCGCCCAGCAGACCGCATGTATGTACAGCATAAGGCAGAAGACAAGCGCCAGATGAGCGCAATCGTACCACAGCTCCGATACCAAATTGCAAGGAAGATGAGCAATAGCGAACTTCAGCAATCAAACAGCATCATACATACGAGTCCAGATAGTCTTGACCTCGAACCAACAGCAGAATTGCATCACGAGATTCACCAAATAAGAACACACCAAGAGTTCATAATTGACAATGCTGAAAAAGTCCCATCATCATCATCAACGAAGAGCCAGAGTTGATATCCTATCTGGCACTCGGCGCCCAGATTACATGCGGTAGATCCTATCTAGCCTATACTACAATGCCGAAGTTGACATCAACAGCTTTCCCAAAGTACGAGCATATGGCGACCAATGTCGCACGCTTCCAGCACCAGGTATGTCTCTCGCTACACTCACAACCTCGTTCCCCAACACACAGATGCCACTAGCACCCAAGGACCACCCTGCGCCACACCCAGCTCACAGCGGAGCAGCTCGGCTATGGCTGCCCGCTCCTTCCTGCTCGCCCGTGAGAGCGTGAGTGCCGGCCAGCGAAATAGCGCAGCAGCGCTTGTGCAGCATGCAGCCAGCACCCAAATACCGAATGAGGAGGCAGGCCCTTTGCTATATCGAAGTGGCCTGCCTGCGTCCAGTCCCAGGAAGCTTCCAGTAGGCCCCGGTAGCCTGAGGCCCAGCACGACGAGAACAGGCCTTGGGCCTGAGGCCTTTGTTTGGCCCGGTACCCATATCCAGCCCAGGGCCTGCTTCACATACATTCACACAGGCGGCCCAGGGCCTGGGTTCACTCAACCAACTGGCGCTGCGCAACTGCCTGAATTTCTCTGAGTTGCGTGGTGGCCAGAAAAGGGCCCTGGGGGCCTCGTCGAGCCTGCCTTCACTTAGGGCGGCCGACGGGCTGCAAAATGGGGCCTTATGGGGCTCATAGAGGCAGTGGCCTCGCATATATACACATATATATATATTGTCACATCACTACAAACTAAAAGAGCGCACTTTGCGGAACAAAGAATAAAAGCAAAAAACGAGCACAGTGATAACATGCAAAAATAAAAATAAAAATAAAAACAAAAAGAAAAAACAAGGGCAGATTGAAACCATTAAATTTCTCATTCTTCTTTGAACTCCACCTCCACTGTGCCTCT